CTCCAGCATCACAAATCACTTCACTGAAGAAACTATTTACAAATAAATTGAGATTTCAAAAATATTCTGAGATCCATTTCCAGGCTGTGCATCTCCTACTGTTTACTGTGTTTACAACATTTGGAAAAATAGTCACCTAATGACTGTAAGATACTGTTTCACTTCTGTCCATTACTTCACATTTTGACTGCTCTTACTTTTATTAAACAAAAGCAACCTCCGATATTATTGCATCAGTGTATTCTGTGTTTATAGTTTAGTATACATTTCTTCCATTATATGCATATTAGATCTTTCACTCCATTTAAGAAACTTTGCATTCACTAGGCCTGCACGATATTCTCCAAGTACTATTAATGTCTCAGAAAGGTATGTTATGCTGGTCCATTTATTTAGTATGAACTTCTTTTTACAGCCTGAAGGACAGTGGCAACTTAGTTTCTCATAAAAAGTAGTTATCTCTCAAATGGTAGGTGTGCACTGCTCAAAAAATTATTAGACTGAGTTACTTCGTCCAACAGTCTGCTGTCCAACTCCTTCCCATAAAGGAATGTGTGGGATACTTTCAGTATCCTCAGGATCTTCTCAAACACAGAAATACCTCTTGTAGGAAAATCAAGAATAATTTTAACCCACCTCTCCCAGTTCTCAACCAGATCTCTTCCACTATAAACCAAATTACTTCCACATTCATTCAAGACTCAGTACGATTTTGAAATCACACAGCAAGGGGGTGACACATAGGCATGTCAGTTAAAGGCGTACCATGGATTGATTGCTGACAGGCCACTTTAAAGACGAATGTGCATGAGCACACACACAGACAAGATACTGGAATATTAATACATACAAAGATCCATTTCGATTTCTAGTTAATTACATCTTTAAAATTACATTATTAGCGGAATATTAGGGCTGCAAAGCTAAAGATCTAAAAATGAGAAAATATCAAAATCAAGACCACCTTTAAAAACTTCCAGAATGAGATGCAGTCCTTCATTGCTTGCGTTTTGGCAGAGGAGGAAGGAAGGGGAATTTATTTCTTTGATTACTCCCACCCTTCCTCCCACTCTCCCCTTTAGGGCTGTTATTTTTCCCCTTCCTAAGTCAATGGCTTTATTTATTTATTTTATCCATGGCACGTGATTTATTGCCGACAATCCGAGTCTTGCTCCAAACAGAGAAGAAATATTCTTTTTTTTACGAATTCCTATGGCGTACTCATCGCAAAAATGCTGATATTTACACAACTTTGATAAACCTATCTTCGCTGCCTCCTGCAAGAAAGATTACCCTCATTTTCTGCACTGAAAACTAAATCAAAACTGTTAGACTTGTTTGAGAACTTATGTAGTTGAGGGTGCCTTATCAGAAGCACCTAGAATTTGAATTTTATCAGTGTTTACCACTTCAAGTGTTGTCAATACCTCTTGCTGACACAGCTCTGTTTCTAGAAACTGAGAAACTACGGTCTCAATTCCGTACTTTATAAATAGAGGCACACTCCAGCTAGCTGGAGATCCCCGGTACCCAACACCACCCCACCCTAGCACTGTTCCTCTCCATTCTCTGCCGCAGAACATGGGCTTTGCGTCTATTTATCCTGTCTCACACCGGGTATATCTTTTTACCTCTTTTCCACTGCCAACTCCATACCCAGTGGAGTCGCCATCTATCTCTGTCCCCTTCTAGCATGAATGTTGTGGTCCTTCTCACCACCGTTTGCTCAGTGCAAATACAATATTTTCGCATTAAATTCTTCACAGACATAATGGCTTCTCTACCTCAAAGAAACAATAATTTAGACAGAGGATAAAACGTGCACCATTAGTCACAGTAAGAACATAGAAATTTAACAAACATAAAATATACAATGAACTTCACCAATAAGTTATCCAGAACTATCTGGATTTAAATGATCTGAAATTAATGCAAAAGCATTTAAATTAAGGAATAAGAAACACGGCATTAACTTCTGTAATTTTCATCAATCTTCTTCAAATAATACTTCAAAGCAGCGAATTCTGATTAGAAGCAGATTCATAAACTCTCCTTTCTACATAAATTATCTCCAAGAACACAGTAAATGATAACTCTTTCAAAAGACTCTGCTGCTAATAACTAATAGGTGAATTTATACCACAAATCACTGTGGTAAAGAGCTGGACAATTAATATGACATCTATTTAAAGAGAATAGTTGAAGTGTTTAAAACAGAGTAATATAAATTACCTGTAATGATATTTTGACTCATTCAGATGACTTAGACTGCAGTTTTTTAAAGTGTTAAAGCCACAGAAATGCTGATTCTGAAACTTGCAAAAACAAAGCCTGGAACGTTAAGTATTATAGCAAAGCTATATGCTTATTTTTAATATACAATAATTATCTTGTCCTACAACACTAGGTTTAGCATGCTCTTCATACCACATACAAATTCACGTCAACAAATATAATTGATAACATATAATAAACATACTGAAAATTATGTTCACAGGAAAATATAATCTTCCTTTCCTTTGTTGAAGTAATACTTTGCCACCATAAAAATGAAGTTTTCTTCTCCACTACCTTTTTATTCATGGCACGGTTACACTACTCAGGTTATATTGCTTGCTTTCTTGCTTGTTTAACAGAAAGGTAATTTCAGAATCACCCAACAATTGCAGCTATAAACTTAGGCTTTCCCTGGAGTTTAGGGAATGATGTCTCTGCTGCAAAATTAAGTTCAGATAAATCTCATTCAACAATTAAGCAGTCAGGCAAAATAGGAAACATAGGTAGAAAGCAGATAAAAGAGTATTTTAAATCTTTTTATCCTTAGGAAATTAGAGAAGAAAACCTTCCTTTCATTTCTTAAAATTAAGAAAAGAAAATTCTCAGAAAACAGAGGGCGTTTTTCCACAAGTAATTGTGAATAGAGCATAATACTATGTCCATACATCTCACGTATATATGTACGCATGATGCCTGAAACATCATGTGAAGTGGGAGAGACTTTACCTGAGGAAAAAAAAAAAACGATGAAGAAATATTCTCATAAAGAAGCTGGGGATAGTATCTTGCATAGTCTTCACAGACCCGTGAGTCAATGAAATACAGGCTGCAGGGAAACACTGTGACACTCTGCAATGAGCAGTAACCTTTTCCAGATAGCGGTAGCATCATCAGTTTGAGACTGCTAAGAGTCACATGCTTCCAGTTACTGTTCGCATGTTAGGGACAGCAGAGGTTTGACAGAGTCCCCTACAAAAGCCACAGCACAATCAGACCAAATAGGGGTATTATTTCAGGATCTTACCAGTCAGCAGCCTAACATCATGACCTGAGAAGGCACCGAATGCCATACAGAATTCTTTAAATCCTGACTTACAATACTTTCACAGGAAAAAATACAGCTCTAGAGATAAAAATATTTATATACATATATGTGTGTGTGTACATACATATATTTATATATATTTACATCTTAGTGTAGCCAACGCAGGCAGTACGGTTTCATTTATTTGGAAGGAATGAGAAGGAATGAGGTATTTGAAAAGCATGCTGAAAATCAACTCTATTTCTAGGTCCTGCAATAGTTCCACTGAATGGTTTTACCAGCCCTTTGCTTCCTGCAGTTCCTTCTCATTCACCGTATTTCCAACTTTTTGGACGAGTGAAGTCGGAAGTTTAATAGTCCACCTTAATGCAACCCTGACTCGCTGCCAGGGCACAGTTCCTCCTGCACACTACATGAAGCAGTCTCACACTAACAGAGTATGTTCTCTAGTTGTATAAGCCCTTTCGCTCCCCAGTTACCAGCCAGGTTGTCTCCTCCTGCTTCTGTTTCAGCTGGCACATTCCCAGCACCATCCCCATCTCCATTTTGCTCTTACCTGTATAATCATTCTCTGCCTTTCTGCAATGTCCTTCTCAATCCTTCAGCTTCTCCAGGTCCTACCATCCGCTCCCCCGTTCTACTACCATCCCTAAGGTTGACCCAAAAACTGTAAGCCGTAGTTGCAGAACAGAGTTGCAGGCCCACCACTTCACCCCTCCATAAGATGAATCACCTGCACTATTTCTACTTTTAGCTCTAAGTACACCAGGATAGAGTAGCTCCAGTGGATGTGACAGATGCTTAGATTGTAATCTTGTGCATTAATTTAAGACAAAAGGGTGTCACCGAACAATAATCTTAACGAATCCTTTTAAAAAGTGAGAATGAAAGGGAAAAAACATTTTCAGATACTGTCTGCAATTAAGATCTTCCACCCTCTAAAGAATTGTCCTCAAGTGTGGGACAGGGAAAAGTCACAAGATAAGACTAGCAATGAAATTAGCCTTTATGTTAATGTTAGCTTTAATGCTAATTAATAAACAATTAACTGAAATTAACTGTTCAGAAAGTTATTAAAGCAAAGCTGTAGTTATTGCTGGTACAGAGGCTGCAGCACCCTCCCTGCAGCTAAAGTAACTGGCATCAACTCTGTTTGAAAGATGCGTTATTCATATCTCTGTTGAACATAATTCAGGTTGTCTGCTGAATCATGAATGTTTATGCTTCCGGGATGTTGAGCTCCACCACCATCTTTATTTTCCTGTTTTAACTTTCTTCCTGACAGGCCAGAAAAATCTGATTCTACCATTCCACCAAACAGATTAAAAAAAAAAAAAATCTTGGTCACAGAACTTAATTACCAAATTAATCAGCTTTTGCATTCATTAGAGCTACGTGGCTAGATTTTCCAAGGACACCAAAGCAGAAGGGGACTTCTTTCTCTCTATCACGGTCATAGTATATGAGCGTAAATAACTTCTTGCCACCCGGGCCCATGAGTAGCAAACGAACATTCCTCAAATAAAAGACAATCAATGTCTGCAATTTACCACTGCGGTCTAATAAAACGAACCTGGATGAAAAGGGAAATTTAAGCCCTGTTCAAAACCCGCTTAGTTAAAAGCACTGTAGATTTCATGGAGAAATTCTTCATTTTCCATACACTTCTGATACTTACATCAAATTCATTCAGTGCAGCAGCAAGTTCTCCTATGCCAGTGTGCCCCTTGTTCTCATCAGTGGGTGAGGTGGCTTGGGCAGCACTGGAGATGCCAGCAATTGCTTCTTGCACTTGTTTGAAGACATAGTCTCTGTTGGCTCTAGTGGCTGCTACATCAGGGTGACGGAGAAACGCTTGGGAGGCAGTATACAACATAGTGGCATTCTTCTTCAGAGCTCCTCGAGCTGCAGCCATTTCATCCCTGCAGTGAGGATCCTTCAGTTCCTATACAGCAAAATCACATAATTTTTCAGTCGTGAACTCAAGCTTTAGCGTTAGAATGCACTGCCTGTACAGTTTAAGAGTCCCTGCAACTTTTACAAAGTATCTGTCACTTTGCAGAGATGGAATTTATGACAGAATCTACCATAAATCCCAAAGAAAAGTTGCTCCTGCCCAAAAAAGGCCACTCCTTCTGCCTAACTAAAGCTGTCACATTCTGCTCAGAGTCCGAGTGCTTCCCCTACCAAAGGCCAGCAGAAAATTTAAATAAAACATTCAAAATTACTCTTCCTGATTGACTAGATTCAGTCTGCTGGTTCCATAAAGGCAATGGGCACTCCTGTTGCAGCAAGGGCCAGATTTTTCTAAGTACTACAGCTATGCCCTGTTCACAAATCATCATAAGATAAACTTTTAGAAACTCCCCTGAAAAGCCACTACTGCTGGATACATTGCTAGTTTACAAAAGCAACATAAATATCTCCCTCATTACTTTTGTTACATATATAATTATTTTTATTCTGCTAGTTTAATTTACCAAACACATATTTTGATGATTCTTAGGAATACTCAATTTTCCATGAGTTGGCTTCCTTCTAAAAGTTACTTTTAACTTGAAGCCTAAAGCTATTCATGTTTCCTTTTCCTTAGTCTTACTACTATGTGTTTAGATGTTTTGCCTGGGGGCTTCCCAGCATGTTAGATCTTTAGCCTTTCTTTCAGATTTTCCTCCATTTTTCACATGGTTCATTCCATTTATTTTATTTTAACTGCATAAACTTTCTTTTGTTTCCCCTGACTACAAGCAATGACACTCTGCATTACCTTATGTTACCAGAATAAGATGATAGTACATCATTGCTATTTTACCCACGACTTTATTTATTTCCAGGATACATCATACTGTTCATGAAAGTCTTTCAAATATGAGGTAGGGTAGTCTAACAATATTCATAAAATAGAATGCTTTCTTACTCCTTAAGTTCTGTTTAAAACTATGAACACAGACGTCTGAAGAAAATGGTTTGCTTATGTTCACACAGAGAATCTATGGCAAAACTAAAAAAGAATCCAGATATTCTGGGTTTAAAGGTTTTACCCACCAGCCAATTTCAATCACATGTGCCTGACAGATACAATTCTCAGAAAGAATTAAGTTCCTAAAATCTTTAGCAGGCTTCAAAACAGAAGAGATGAAAGAAGAGTGTAGGAATATATTTCAAGCAGTAGCTTCTAATCCTGTCAAGATTTACCACTACTATACGTGCCGCATTACAGGCGAAATACTTTGTAAGAAGTAAGTTTTGAAAGGTTTATACCAAGGTTTTCTGTTATCTTTTCACAACTCCAATAAGAAGTATGAACCATACACCTCCATTAGTTTTGCTGTTCACTTTTTTCTTTCTTTATCCCAACTTTTTAACTATATGTCCACAAAGGAAGTATATGAACACACAGAACAGCACTTTCATCTAGCAACTATATTTTTAATTTTTAATGTATTTTCTGTATATCTCTGAAAATGTTACATGTAAAAAACACAGTAATGATACAGAAGCAGATTGCTATCATTGTAATGCAGAAGATATGGTAAAAAAACATGAATTGAGAAAATCATTTTTCTAAATCTAGAATGCTAAGGAATATAAAGATTATACACCTGAATTATTAGTGTTATTCACTCACAGTTGAACAGACCTTATACAGCTCCACAATTACAGCACTGTCTGGACTCTTAAGAAGAGCACTGCTCAGGAGAAAGTTCTGTTTAATGCAAGGATGTATAATTATGGGCATCGAATAGACGTTATAATGACTTTCCCATCTTTTTTTTATCTTTCTTAGTAATGAATGAATTATGTATTTGTCTTTTCAAGTATCTGACTGAACAATGTTGGTTTTGAACACAAACTAGATTTCTGTTCTTCCCAGATTTGAATTATACTAGACTTCCAGAGAGCACGTCATTTTCCAGCTCTCAGAGTGACCTCAGATCAGCATAGGTTAGAATTTAATTGGAATCATCATTACATGAAAACTACCCGTAACCTTCTGAATCCTTTGCCTTCTCACTCTTTATTCCGTTATTAATTGAAGCCACTTGAAATATACTCTTAAAGAAATTAACTGCATTTTGAAAAATTTAATCATATTCAGAAAAATCACTATGATTAAATTATAGGCCATGGCACAGCAATTACTTACTGTACATTTTAAACCGGACAGACTTGAGCATAACAAAAACATAAGTTCTTTTTAACCATGACTAATTTTCTCAGTCGTTACTTTAACATATACTCACCTGTTGTCGTCTAGCAGCCACATAGTTCAGTTTGACCATCTCTTTTCCAAACTCTTTGAAACGATTTGCTAAATCTTGCTCGTTTGTTGCATTTTTCACTGCTTCTAGTGCTTCCTCTACCTAAAACGCAATATTTCGGCTGTTAGCGTGAAGCGATGCTCCCAGTTTCCCCCCGCAACTGGTGCCAGTTACAAGCAGTTTGCATTCCTGTACCCCCCGCTCCGGAGGGGAGGATGTCAAGACCCCGAGATAAGGCCTGCTTAGACGTCAAAACCGTGAGAAAACAAAGCCTCCTCTCCCTGCCTGGGGAGTATTAATTATTGTGGTCTGAAATTATCTCCTCCTTGTCAAGACCTTGAGAAACAATAACCTGCTTTCACTGCTGGGACAGTATTAATCACTGTGGACTGGACTCCTCCTCCTTCACCACTGCAAGAGTGAAGCAGTCACTGGCAGTCACTCAAAGTCCTTTCTTCAGCGCTGAAGCGTGCTCAAGGCCGCCAGCCTGCCGTTGGCCATCCCCTCCCACCCCAGCACTGTGAGTGCGATCGTCACAGTAAGGACGGAGGGGAGTTGAACCCTGCAGCAGCCAACAGCTAAGGACTGCGACTGCGTGAAGAGAACTGCAACCGGCCTCGTGACTCCACCTCCTCCTTCCCCTGAAGGGTATAAACAGGTCGGTCCCGGAGGCCGTCTTGGGCTCTTCATGGGTGACAGCAGGTGTGCCAACTTAACGGAGCCCCTCGGGATGGGGATGCCCTCCCGAGTCACTTCCCTAGGACTGAGGGTATGTTGGCCGCTGAGGTAACGATGGGTAAGACCAACGAGAATTGGTTTGCCTAGTTCATTCGTTTGGGCAATTACATTTAACATAAACCAGCTGGCTTTGTCCGCTCACTGCGTAGTTACTGTGAGCATAACTTTCAGTGCAACTAGAAAATAAGTATCCTAGTTGAGCTAAGTTTCTGTTAATAAGAATCGTTGCTTTGTACCGTTGTAACTTGTCTAGGAAATTGTGATCTTTAAAATAAGTTGTGGAGTCAGTCTGCTTCCCCGCTTCCTCCCGTCGCTCGCGCCACACGAAACCCGCGCGGTCCGCGCCTGCGACAGTTAGCGTTTCTGTCAGCCGCACGCCCCGACAACGTCTGTAACTTCTCTAGCAATTACTTTAGCCCTCAGGTCCATCACTGAACGGTGGCCGTGCAATATTTCCATCGCCTTTAATCAGGTTTCTTAATACAAAAACTGTCTGAATGTCAGCATGCATTGCTTTCCATTAACTGTATGTTGTTATCGTGCATAATTAACATAAAAGACAAAACTCTGTTCATTTCAGCCCTCACATTTATAAGATGAAATGTTTAATATTTGTGGGTTTTAAAACAAAATAGGTATGTTCTTAATGTCTTGTACGTGCCTTATGTGAAAGCAAAGGGTAATTATTAATTGCAGATGAAAAATAACTTTAAAAAAAGGAAACTGAAACATACTGTTAATATTTAAATTTACCCTGATATATCAATAATATTGTATCTTTGTAAAGCAAATGAAAAAAGATTATTTCCTTATATTTCCGTTATTTCCGTTATTTCCTTTTCAACTTGGCAGCCTGATTTGCAGTTTCTTTTCAATTGCTTTCAAACTAAGAAAAAACCTACCAAAGAGAGCATAGCTGCAGTTATTCAGTCAGCCGTATCCTGTAGCTAAACAGGCAAAGATATGAAACCCCAGTTATATCACCTAGTTAACCTATTAAATTTATCATGAAACTTTACCTCACGTACGGTGAGAGGGAGGAAAAAAATCGCTTAAAGGGCTAAAATGCTTTGTTCACACAGGAAGTAAAATAAATTTACCTGTGATTAGAGAGGAATTCAAAGCTGTATTTCTGTCCTGCACGGTATAGTAATGCAACTCCAGGCAGAAAGATTGAAAAGTGAAAACGCCTATTCCTACTTTCTACAGATTTGAACGTATCCACAACTTATAGCAAACCTGCAGATTTCCATGGCAAAACATATAATTCAAAACCCTAAATCCGTAGTTGTTATGCTGGAAATGTACTAAGTCTGAGAGCCACAAGCTAAACCTTATTCAGAATCTAATTACCTCATCTTTCACTCTTAAAAAAACCCAGCAATTTCTAAGACAAAACTATCTGACTGCCATAATAGTTGGGGGAGAAGCATCATTGTATCATCTAATTGGTTCTTATCAGCTCTCCACTGCTATTCGCAACACTACCCAAAGGCTTAGGACAGCAACACTGTTTACATTAGGAAAAAGAATTAGCCTGACACACAAAAATCTACCATCTTTTCTACTAGGCAAATTAACTTTCTGTTCCAAGAAACATTTTTTTTCCTTCTTTTCTAAAACGTCAGTATCTTATTTTCTCACTGGGTTCTGCACTCCAGCAAGAAACACGTGTTAAACCAGTTTACTTTACAGTTTTAGAGAATCCAGAGGTAATGGCTTCAGAATAATCAGCTATTTGAAAGAAAAGAGAATGAATCGAAATATGAACATCTTACTTTCAGATTAAGAAACGTTTATACTAATCTACCTCAATCTTTCATCTTTAACACACTTGTAATGACAAGCACAGACATGACCAACTGACACAAATTTCTGTAAGTCTTGCCAGTTGCTATTAAACCAAGCTGCTAGAGGATTTGTTAGATTGCACCCAGACTCTGACGATCTGACTTTGAAAGATGCTGATCATATTCTACTGTGTCAGCCTGGGCTCAAGCCTATGAAATTCTGAAATGAACAAACTGGATGGGAAAAGTATTTGAAATGACATGAGCATAGAACCCTCTTTTTAGATGTATGTTTATATACGTATTTGTGTGTGTATATACATGTGTGTGTGTGTATGTTTTTACGTATATGTGTGTGTATGCATATATAAAACTACCTTTACAAATTCAATTTTGAGTAGTATCTCTACATTCAAAAGAATATATGAACTATAAATGAATTATGCTCAACTGTACAGATACTAATTCCTCTAATTAGTGTGTAGCTAATTACAATAGATTCATAATTCCTATCTACATCACCACATACTATATTAGAATATGCTATTTTAGAAGTGCTGACACAAGCTTCACTACAATAAATATTATTATTAATTCTAATAGAGCAAAATATAATCTGAATGAAATGACAGAATGTCCTGGAAAGCAAACACCTGTGTTCACCCTAACACATTGATTAAAAGGCACTATTCCCCACGAAGTCTGAAGCATAACTCGCTTCCTGGACAGGCTTTCAAACAATTTAAAAAAAACAATTACTGTATAATTCAGGATCCCAACTGTACAAATCAAGCTTCCTAACTTTGATATGCAGAATGATTTTAGCTCATTAATTTTCAGGGTATCTTGCATCAGTTTTTGTGTGTTACCTTATGGTCAATGCTATCCTATTGTCTTTTTTTTTTTTTCTAGTGATTTAATTTTATTGGGCTAAAACTACTTTGTTGTATAGAATGATGAGAAAAATATTTACACTGTCAATCCTCAGAAATAAAATACCCTTTTTAATCTGCAAAAAATAATCAAATTTAAGGTCCTTAAATTGAATTTTGATAAAAAAAAAAAAAAAAAGATGTCTGGGTTTATCAAAATAGGAGGTTAGATTCTTCAAAAAAAGATCTTTGACAAGTGCAGAGACTACGAACCACATTGCCATACATCACCCTTGCAAATGTAGTGTGCAAACTATATAAGTAAATACAACCAGTTACAAAAGAGTATTGCACATTGATGTTCTAAATCACATCGCACACTACTGTAAAAGGTGGGGGAAAGTCAGCTGTGCGAGCAGTATTTCTCGTTATCTGTGAAACAGCTCAAATAGGAATTTTAATCGTACTGTTTAGAAAAACTATTGTTCATAATATGAGTTAGCCTCACTAGCAAAGGAGTATTTGATTAAGAAGTAGGGGGAGGGGGGGTGCGATCCAGGGGGAAAAATTAAAAGCATTCTCGAGAGCGACACAGTGCTAACACTGCACGCAGGCCAGAACAACAGGCCGGCAACGCCAGACCAGCACCGTGCTCATCTGAGCAGAGCTCGGGAGAATCTGTGCAGAAAAGAATCTGCCTTTTTCATTACAGAAACTGTTTTCAAAGAATTTAGTTTATCAGCACAATTAGTCAGCTGAAGGGCTCTCATCTCTTTGCAAGAACAGGATATTGTTGGGAGGTTCCATTGTTAAAATACAACAAAAAAAGGAATTGCTTTCTGGGCACTCAATTAAAAAAAAAAATAGGAAAAAGTAACTCTCCATCCCCTCTGCTAAGCTCACACATGTACTCTGCAGGCTTTAAACATTCTGTACATGAGTTTCAGCAGAACTGCACTTTGCTTTGGAGATTTTTGTGCATTTGTTTATGCAATAAATAGTCAAACAGTCCAATAAATAGCAAAAAAAATTACGTTTCTCTGTTCCAATTACAAAGCATTTTAACATGCTTACACAAACAGGTCAATGGTAGCAGCCAAAAGTGAATACTAGTCTATAGCAAACCATCTGGCAATCTTTAATTCTTCTTTATTCTATTTTTACTCTTTGTTGACCTGACTAGGCACTTGGACTATTGTCTCACTCCAAATTAAAGAGTCATTTTTATGATATGTCCAGCAGGTGTGCAAAGACATAGAGGTAAAGAAGTACAAGAACAACTGTAGTACTTAAGCTCTACCACAAGATAGCAGTGCTTTACAAGTACTGAGCTACTAAACCATCCTAATAAACTGCAGGGTGAGTTAAGTCAATGCAGCTGTTTAGTTCAGGGGGCTGCTTAACAGCACTCATAGCTCAGTCACTGAAGACCTCCAACAATTTTGATTTTAAGCCTCCAAAAATTATTTTATGCCAAATCAGAAAATTAATGAGACTAATGTAGAAATGTCAAATCCTAATTCTTGTCTAGCGCTTTCTTAAGAAAATAATGAAGTAGGTTAGAAGTAGAACAGAAAAGGGAACAGTGGAATCGATTAGTTACGGGTCCAATGCTTGTCCATACAGAAAACATGCAAAAACAATATAGAAAATTAAAGATTCATACAATTTTCAGGTGTGATAGAAGCCTCATGACGTCAGCCATATCAGCCAGGATGAGCAAGCGAGTGACAGCAGAAAGCAAGGCCCGCGCCGCCCGCACCATGGTGCCTCGTTTCACCGACGAGCACGGATCATCAGCAAACTCCGAAGAGGCGATTCTCATCGTTTCACCTAGAATTCAAAGAAAAGTTTCACATTTACATTTTTGCAGAAAGGATAAAGCATTTACTGAATGAATTTACATCTCTCAGGGGAACACTTGATGGCTCTGGTACTCACTACTGAATTGCTCAGGAGAAATACTTTTTAAAAACACGTGCAGCAACAGCCTCAACATTCTCTGCCCTTTCTGTTGTTTTGCGGTTTTTTATTCTTTTTTATTCCTATTAAAAAAATTTGTGCTTCTTCCAGAGCAGCCACCTGTAAAAATTAAAAAGGCAAAACAAAGCACCGAGACAGACTGCTGAGCACATCCAGCACAACAGAAGGAAATCAGCACTGCGCGTTACAGAAACACGGGGCTCACCTGCGCTGGCAGAGGTGACAGTAGCATTCTTTCCACCTCCATCCTCCTCCCTCACTCCCGCTCCCTATTCCTCTATTCTGTTCCTCCAGCTAGAACAGCAAGCGCTCCCATTTCCAGGTTTTTTTTTTTTTTCCAAATTATGATTCCCTTTATAATCATTGCTGCACTGACTTTATAACCCAATTTCAATACTCCCTCTACGTGATCACCGTCCCAAGCTACCCTGGCTTCCCTACATATGCCCCTCGATGGACAAACCAAAATACCCTCTTGTATACTAAACAGAAGATGGTGCTGCCAGGATACATTACTCCCATTTAATTTCAACAATAAGGAATTTATTCAATACAGTACTTAGTAACTAAATTAAGATTTTTAAGGATTAAATTTACTGAATTTTTGGTACATGGAAATATTAAAAAAAAAAAAAAGAGGAAACTACTTAATGCTAAAAGTGTTTAAAAGTGCTCAAGGTCTTTTGCTAAAACTGAGATCAAATAATTAGCTACCAAAGGAAATACTATTTTTAAAGGAATAAAATTTAGATTGGGAGAGATTACAGTAGCAAATTAGGAGAATAATGAGAAACTGAAGAAAATGGCTAATCGGAAAGACAGATGAGGCAGGGACTGGGCCTGCAGCGACTGGATTGCAGCGATTCCAGTGGCAAAGGCTGGGAAATCAGGAAACGGTAGCTTTTCTTCCCATTGTTTACAGCAAGGAATAAGCAGCAAAACTGAGCATCAGAGATTTTTTTAAAAATCAGTTTCAAAGATTTTATAGTCCAATTTAAGCCAACACAGAACATGAAGATGGACCAAACAGGTAAGAATTACTTTCAATTACACAATTACATTCAATGTGGTTAAGGAGATCACGTAACCCCTGATATGCAAAAAGAAAAGACTTAGTGAATGAAAAATAAACAGCATATAACTGTAAGTAAGTCAGAAAAATGAATAGCTTAATGTACTGATATGTGAAAGAGAAAAGCACGTATCTTTTCCCTTCATGTATGGCTCACAGAGACAGTGAAGGGATTTCTGCCATGGGATGTTTCTTTTTTTGTAACTCCCATAAAAACAATAATTTAGCACATAAACCATATGCAAATATACAACATATATCAGTACATAATTTTCCAAAATAGTTCCAGACAACTAAAAAAATACGCTACTTACTAATAATCCAGACTACTGTGTTAAGCATTTATATTTTATAAGGTGCTTGCAAAATAGTACATTTCCAGATATCAGAACTGTATTATCTGTTATTAAATCTGAAAACTAAATATTCATATTGATAAATAACTTGCAAACATTATTTTAACATGAGAAGTGAAATCTAACTGATTCCTAATTCTGATGTGAATATCCATGATTAAAGAGTAGAACACAGAAATAAACTTTATATTACATGTTAAGCCTAATAGTTGGTATTTAGGAAATGCTCCTCAGAATTATTTGAGAATAACTTCAGCCTTGATCAATAAAGTCCTAATTTTCAAAAACAAAATTCATATTAATTAAATAAAATTCTGCAACATTAATTTAGCAATAGTCACTGCATTACTTTTTGTTAAAAATGACAACAAAATCGAATAAGGAAACATTTTCTTACATTCGGTGAATGATTAACACTAATTAGAAGATCAACACTTTTATTTTTACTTTGAGTTTTAAAAATTTTGGAAAGAGAGGGGAAGGATATCAAATTCTTGAAAATAAGGACTGTAAACTAGAAAGATCAAACAGGATTTAAAAAAGAAAATTGAATAAAATTACTTCCTCCTTTGTAGAGCACTGTCAAAGACAATAGGCCACAAATGTTTACTTAGCTATTTGTATGAATCTTTTCCAATAGCAGCAAAATAACTCCTGTTAGCAATCAATATTACATTAATATTTTCAGACTGATTTGAGTTATTGCACAGTTACACGATGAGTGTTTATTTTATCTTGCTAAATTTTAATACATTAACTTCCTTCCAAAGACTGGAAGGCGTTTTTGCAGTGGGAGACAAGCAACCCATTTTTTGGTGTAGTTATTATTGAGAAGAAATTTAATACCCAGATTAAAGTATTCACCAACTTGTCATATATCTGACATATTGTACACTCAAAGGGATTTCCATTGATATCAAGAGATCGTAAGCATACAGTTATGCAACACAGATTTTACATTAAAGCTCTCTCCCAGTCCTAGTATTGAAATCCTCAAGCAGTAACCACGTTGCAACGTGCTATGAAAATGCATAGGGTGAACGGAAGTAAAAAAAATCCAAAACTAAGAAACCCACGCACCACAGCAAAAGCCCCAAACAAACTCAAGCTCCCATAAATATTCACTGATTCTAAAAGGTTAACAGATTTTTAAATTTCTTTTTACAGGGCTGCCCTGGTGCTTTGCAGCTTTACTAACTTCTTTTGACCAGCCTGGGGACCTCTAAAACATGTTGCATTTTGCTGTGCAGACTTGTTCAACGTATTTAAAATAATGCAGCCCCGCCATGGGGCACAAACATGCCTATATATTACTAGGAATTATGTCATGAGTATAGTAAATAAAAACACATTTTTAAGATAGTCTACTGACTATAGTTTTCTTTATATCGTTACCCTTCACTGAAATGCAGCTCCATATTCAAGTGACTTTTTAAAATTCAGCATTCTTTAACTGAACCATAAACTTTCTGCAGTTCCTACACGTGAGTTTGTTGTGACCTTCTTTTCAAACCAGAATTTCATTTATTCATATAATAAAAGCTGATCTCTGAGCTGTCGAATTAACAAAAATCGGTTTCCCACAGATGTACAGCCATTATCCCACCTTGCTGCTGCGCTGCCTGAAACCCCACTCCATCATATTTTCTGCCCAACACTTTGAATCGGGCAGAAGCAGCGCACCTGCCTTGCTCTCGGTGTGAACAGGAGGCTCCTTATTACTTTGTTTGCTTCTCTCTCTGGTAGCTGATCTTCATAAAAAGATTTGAATTACCTTTATGACGCGGAAACTCTACAGTACAGGTTGAAACTGGACAATAGTTCACATCTATTCGAAATTACTCAGACATACTCAGACATTACTCAGATAATGATGTAAGTCTCATTTCCCTGGGAAACCAAGCTAAAAGAGGGCTAACGCTATTTAGAAGGAGATTTTACAATAACCCAGGCTTTGCTATCATTAAAAAAAAAATAGATTTGTTCCTGTTTGTCTCAACAGGAACAGGAGTATACAATCTCAAAAAGGTTGTGCTTCTAATGTGAAATCAAACCATATTTATATTGCTTTTAAGATTATACATTATAACAACATTCCAAAAAATCCCATATGCCTTAACTTCCCCACGGTCAATGCAAACAGTGCAGCAGAGATTTAGACATTAACAATGAAGAGCTCCCATCAGAAATTTTTTTCCTTACTACATTACCATTAGGACTACATGTTTTTTCTGTAATTTGTGTGCAGTACATCTTGGCTGCTAAGTTGGTAATACGTAATTTCAGTAGAAAAATTGCACTGGCTGATTTCTATGGCTGTATAGTTTCCCTGTATTTCCATAAAGTTCCTAAAACTCTAAAAAGTTGTGTTTTTTTGTTTTTTTTAAGACAAGGAACAAACAATCCTTACTTGATAATAAAGAGATAACAAAACAAATTTCTAAACATACGCAAATGTTATATTGCTTAGCATTGCAGCTTCAAAGTTCTAGGCACTTGGTCTCTGCAGAGAAGGACCATGGTTTCTGCAGAGTTTGTTGTACTTAAGCCCCCATGCATTTTACCTGTGTGCCAAAAAACTAGCGGCAATGAACTCTGAGGTCACAGACAATTTTCTGACATTCATTTTAAATTAAACACTCATTAGAAAAATACATCAACAGCTCTTGGCTCTGAGAGCACTTAATAATTGGGTATGAAAGCACTGATAGTCATTTTTATTTATAATTTACTCAAAATAGTCCATACAAAGTGAAAAATTGAGAGTGACCATAGAATAGCATAGAGTCTAGTACGTAGGCAAAGAGGTAGATTTGAATCTCTCGACATGGGAATTTAAGACAGAATTCATCTAATCACCATAACAACTGGGAAAGCATCATCTCCCCTGCAATCACTTATTATCAGTTTTTCATACAGAGCCTGATCCAACATGCGTTCTTAGAGCATGCCTAGCTGATTGAACCCAAGGGAATACACGCAAAGGTGTGGAGCCCAACAGGACTTTCCAGTAACTAAGCTCCAAGTTGCACACAGAGGAGATGAAAGTGCTTCTGAACAGTCCAGCAACAAAGCTTTTGATATGTGAAAGTACTTCAGCTTTAGCTATCTTTAAGATGAAGCAGCCAAAGAAAGTTTTGGATTTTGGAATCAGATGCCTAAAGAATTGCTCAACTTCCACTGTGGTTTTTAAGGGATTTTATGGATCCAGGCCAAACTATCAGTCTGTAGCTTCAGATAAATACTAATATTGAACTATGAAAGAAAGAAATACTCTTTAGTAATTGGCCAGTGGCATCAGGAAAGCAAGAAGGGAAATTATCTTCTTAGTCCTTGATTATGCCAGGATCTATAACTAGCAAATACATTTGAAAATGAAGCAGGGTGGGGACAGGGAGAGTATGCGGAGGGTCAAAACAATA